AATAAAATTATTTAAATATTTGTAATAATATAATTGATAATTAAAATAATAGAAATTTTTTATGAAATTATTTAAGTATTTTTAATAAATTAATATTTAAAATAATTTATTAAAAATACTTAAATAATTTCATAAAAAATCTCAATATTTTAAATGTTAAAATGTCATATTTTTCACTTGTCTCTTTTAAATATGTTACAATAAAATAAGCCACAAATTTATATATATAATGCTCTCTCGAACTCAATTTCATTTTTTTTATTGACATATTATTAGTAAACATGATTATATTTTTTTATTTTATAATTTAAATTATATTAAACTATAAAATAAAAATTATTGAATGAGAAAGGAAGTCTTTAATATAAAAAAACTCATTTATATCTAATAATTAAAATTATGTAATTTAAAATAATTTAAGCTGTATAACGTTTTACCATACACACTAGATTATTTGTTGTTGTAGTAAATAAGGTAATTTAATCATTAATTCCTTTTAGTCGTTATATAATTTTTTTTAATATAATTTTAAATAATGTTTTCTTATTAATCTTATATTATACAAGAAGAAATAAAGTGTATACTCCATATCAAATTACTAAAATTTAAAATTTCTTTCTTTTACCCTACGCAAACAATTGAGTTATTTAAAATCTAGTTGGCAAATAATATTTTTTAATAATGGTACTCCGTATTTTTTCTATATATAAAACCTGCCACCATGCACAAACACCATTAATTAATCTCAAGAGAGGAGCTTATCAGGTCATTGACTTGTTCGTTGAAAAACAAAAGAAAACAAAAATTACGGAGCCACACTACGTAAGAGAAGTTGATGGATCAAAGAAGCCTACTGACATCCATTAAATTGGGAACAACTGCAATAGCAAGTAGTATCTTAGTAACTTATACTAGGAGAAGTAATTGAATTGTTAAGTCGTTAATGAATCACACAGGCCCTCGAAACTGAAAAGCAGTAAGTAACTGGAGTTTGTTTTTTCGATAATAGGCAATGGAAAGTAACTGGAGTTAGGTCGATACATACAGTATTCCATCGACTACTCAATTAATACTCACAAATAGTTGAATTAATTTATAGAAAATTCTTTCAATTTAACAAAAAATCTTAATTTTAAGTTTTGAGAATACAACTCGATTAAAAATTATGAAGGAGAATTTTGCCATCCATTAAATTTTGTTCGACTCGAATTCAAATTAATCAATGATCTAGTAAACTTTTAAGGACTGAATGATCCAAATAAAAAAAAATTCGACTACTCAATTAATGTCCGTATTTCATTTTCACGGGCACAATAGTACCATGACCGTACGTATCGTGAATCACGTTAAAAACTTTTGAAAATTTTATTTACTTGATTCTAAGCCAAGAAGTTGGGACGGTTTCAGCACTGGCGCAGGTAACAGAGAAGTTCAGAAAAAGCATATACAATATTCTTTTTAATATATAATATCAATTAATATATTAATTCCTGAGCTCAACCCGTGACTTATATTATTATTATTTTGTATTTCACCTATGTTATTGGAGTTTAATTAACTCCTTTGTACCTCTATTTTTCTTTTCTCAAATTGCTCCAATTTCCCTAATTTTTTTTAAAAAATTAATGTATTAATTCCTAGTACATGGTACACTCTAAGATTTTTTATTTTTTAAATAAAATAATTATATATTTAAAGGATAAAAATTAATATTAATGATTCAACTCGAGAGACCAAACCAAAGTGTCACAGCACGGACCACAAACGTGATTGGCATGATAAAGTCCAAGGCTGCTGACTCATGATTGGAAAAGTACTGGGATTTCATTAGTTGTGATCGTGGATGGATGCATGCTAGACAAAACAAGCTTACTCCCAAACCCATCCCCACAAAATTTATATCGCATTGGCTTCATGTTGGTTGTCTTCTTTTAATGGTCCATCATTCCGGCTCCCTTTAACCTCTCCTAACTCCTATATAATCCCTCTTTACCATGCTTTCTCCTAACCTTCACTCCCGACACTACAGAAAACCGTATGAATATGACCACGAACATAGTTTGATATCTATAATTAACTACGTTACACTTATTTTTTTGTCTGTAAGTGTAGGAATAGGCCTTGAGAGGCAATATATGCCTACGTTTTTATGTTATATAGCTATGGTTTTAATCTGTAACTATATAGTAAATTTGTTGTAGTGCTACCTCTCTAGGTCTTATATACAAACCAAGCTACTTTCACGGTGAACGCCAATCAAACAAATTAATTCACATAACAACAAAACTATCTACTATCTTTTTTCTTTTTTCTTTTTTTGGCTAATTGGGTTTTTCAATAACTAGAAATGGAATTAGGCATTGTGGCTGGATTTGAAGACTTCTTTCCGTCCATAATCGAGAAATTGGGAGGAGAAGGCTTCATGGTGGAGCTCTGTGACGGGTTAAGGTCATTGATAGACAAGGATAAGGGATTGATCACAATCAAGAGCTTGAAGAGAGGAACAAGATTTCCTTGGGATTGGATGAGATTGGAGACGACTACATCGTTTGCATGTTGAGTGAAGATGATTTAGATAGTAATGGATTTTCCAAGTGGATTGGTAAAATCTGAAGTTCTAAATAGTTATAATTATAATAGAGATATTCACATATTCATGTAAAAGAATGTTGGAGCATATAAACATATAAATAAAGTGTAACTAAATATTGTATAAAAATTTTATAACGATGAGAAATAAAGTATTAAAATTCAATATATATATATAGATACCTATTAGACTCTTCCGATAATTTTAAACCAAATCATGACTCTCCCAATAATTTTGAATCAGGCGTGATCGATTGAGTCCAAGGCTAATTAATGGATCGCTTGGCATAGCGGCATAACTGTAGTTTTGTCAACGAAACGTAATTAAGGGGAATAACTAATTGTGACTTAAAAATTGGAATTTAATGGGACAAAGTTTCTTAATTTGTTCTGCTCAATTCTAATTCTAAACTTCCATTAATTTGTACCTACCAAAACACGGTTTTTTTAAAAAAAAATTGACAATAATTTTTTTTTATTAATATCTTAATATTTAGTAATTATATTATATCTTGACTAATTTAAAATCAAACCGCATGAGATTTTATTTGGAATAATCTCTTTTAATATTTATTTTTTTATTTATAAAATTTAAATCTAAAATTTTATTTAAAAAAAAATTAAATTATTTTCATTTAAAATAATATATTATTGGTAAAAATAAACAATGGTATCAAAACACGTTTGATATTGCTTTCTTTCTAACACGATTAGTAGTCGTGGATATTATGATCTCCTTATAAAATGAAAAACCAAAAAAAAGGTGCTGCGACTTAATTAGTCACTCTATCATTTTTCATGCCCAGTTAATTGTGATGTTCTTTTATGATGTTACAGGCTTGGGGATAAGCGCTACCGACGTCACTTTGTTATCTTCACAATCAGATTAGTCTTGGAGTAGTTTGGATCTACTTTGAAATTATAGAGTGAGATGCCATTGTAATTTTCTTGACAATTAATGGTGCACATCGTCCACTGAGATGTCAATTTTAATTTTCTTTCACAATTAATGGTGCACATCGTACAGTGAGATGTCATTTTCTTTCTTTTGACAATTAAGTTATTCTTGGATTAGTTTGGATCTAGTTCTAAATTATAATTACTTTTAAAGTGATTTTAATAGTGTATTTTCTATGTAGTAAGATGTCAATTTTTTTTTTTTTTTTTGAACAGAGGGAAAATATTAGCGGAGCGGAGTGTAGGGCCTGGGTATAAAACCCAGGTCATTATGTGCAACTTCACCCTTTCAAGGGGTGGCCCAGGGTTGGAAAAGATGTCAATTTTTTTTAATTTAATAAATAAGATATTTTTAAATTAATTTATATATTTTTTTAATATTAATTTTTCTTCAATTCAATTAAAAAGTGAGTCATTTATGTCGTAATTAAAAAATTTATAAAAAAAT